GGGGGGGGGGGGGGACGAGTAGTAAACGCCGCGTATGTCAAAACAGAGTGACTGGCGTGTTTCGTTAGCCTCTCGGTCTCTTTCAATGGTTTTTTCTTTTTTTCCTCGTTTCGAACATTCCTTCTCACTCACTGAACGCGTGCGTTTCAGTTGCCAGTACTTGCACGAGGCTCGAAGATGGCAGACACGAGCCAACAACAAGCATTGAGTGAGCCACATACGAATGGAGCGGTGGACGGTTTAACGGAAGAGGAAAAAAGCAAGATGAGACCCGCCGATATCGATGCGGTAAGTGTTTGAATATTCTCGCAAACATCGCGGGCAAATATCTGTTCGGTTATTTTTGAGGAAAGAACCGAGGAGAAGCGGCGAATAATGCCGAGCGTTGATAATTGAATAAGAGAATCTGATCTCTCCGTAGGATATGAGAGAAATGGAAAGGAGAAAGAGGGTCGAGATGATGATGAACTCGCGAATCTTCCGAGAAGAACTGGAACGTATAATCGAGACACAGATGAAGGACGGTGCTGGACCCTCCGGTCTCTTGCAACAGATCTCCGACATGATGGGCGCACAGGGGGCTCGATTCAACGGCAATGTGTTCAAAAGTTAGTGCTTCATTTGAAAAGAATCACCACAGAACTCTCTTCATGCGACGATTTTATCCGCAGATTCCAATTGCGTCTTACCCATCAACGACATTCGCGGGGTGGAGAGCATGGGCTACGCCAAAGGCGAGAAATTGCTGCGATGCAAATTGGCGGCGGTCTTCAGATTACTCGACCTGTACGGATGGACCCAAGGCGTCGGCGGGCAAATCACCGCCCGTCTCAATCAGGATCAGGAGCACTTTCTGGTGAATCCGTACGGGCTGCTCTATCACGAGGTCACCGCCTCGAGTTTGATCAAGGTGGACATGCAAGGTGCGGTTGTCGAACAAGGAACGACCAACTTCGGCGTACACGTCACGGGTTTCCAATTGCACTCGACGATACACGCTGCCAGGCCTGATATCAAGTGCATTATTCATATTACTACTCCGTCCGTTACCGCTGTGAGTAAATGTTCTCGCCTCTCTCTCTCTCTCTCTCTCTCTCTCTCTCCGATAGTCTCTTACGTATGGTATCTCTCTAGTCGGTAATCTAATCAGTAATTAACACTTATGCTACCAGGGTCACGCATCTGGGTGACACCTTGGGTTCTCCAACTCTTCGAGCTTATCTCGACTTGAAGTTTTCATTTCTACTTAACACGTTCGATTGCGTCATGTACGGTGTGACAGCGATAATTCTTCTTCTCGTAAGATTTGTTTTTCGTTCGCGAGTGTTGTGCACTCCCAGTGATATTCACTGCCGGTCATTGCAAATCTATCATTCATATTACGTATACTACAGACTTTTTTTAGTATTGGCGGTGAATATCGCACCACACTTCTTGATCCAGCGCAGCCAGTGCAAAAAACCAACCTATATTCACGCGAACAAGTGAAATCTGTTTTACACGGTTTATGGGGAGAATTCCTCGAATAAAGCGTGGTAGCGAGAACGTGTTAATCGCACAAACAAGATCTCTTTTTGAGATAGTTGGTCCGTAAATTTATTTTCTCATAAACTTTTCCAATTTTAACGGCGTATTAATCGAAACATATACATGCGATAAAAGAGATACTTATATAAATACTATTAAAAAAATTACAAGATTGTTGACCATCCAGTTTTCTAGAAATGGATACGTGAATTTCTGATAACGGTTGAAATATATCAATCCGTAAAGATTTGGCAATATTATACATCCTATATTTTCCTTTGTACCTCGATTAAACACTGATTGAGAGTTTAGATAACCTCATAAATCTATCATTAATATAGAAAAAATATGGAAAAAACCTGACGATCATTTTTCTAATAGCATGCATTCGTGTACATTGTTTGTCTTAGAGGGAACACACATGATATATTCACAAACCTGTCTAACACGGACAATTTCATATATCCAAGCGCGAAAAACAATGATTTCCATTACGTAAGTTTGACGTACTCTTGCGACGTTGTATAAACATGCTGTCAAAACAATATTTCACAAATCATATTTGTAAATATTCAACGCAGATTTGTCGAAAACCCGTTACCTTTCTAACAGTATTGCACGGACCATTAATGATAATTAATGGCTGAAATTTCTTCCCTTCCCCGACAGCGAGAAATCGTGATTGCTGACGCGTTTCTTTCATTCGCAGATCTCCTCGTTGAAATGCGGATTGCTACCGATCGGTCAGGAGAGTATAGTGATAGGAGAGGTGAGCAGCCATCAGTACATCGGAGGCTCGGTCGAGCCAGAGGAACGCGAGAAGATCGCTCGAAACCTCGGCCCGATCAATAAGGTTATGCTCCTGACGAATCGCGGCGCTCTTTGCTGCGGAGAAACCGTGGAGGAGGCGTTCTTTAACGTTTACAATACCGTAGTCGCATGCGAGACGCAACTGAAGCTAATGCCCGCGGGCGTAGATAATCTGAACCTTATCAGCGAGGAATCGAAGAAGGCTATATTCGAAGCCTCGAGGAAACCACCGAGTCCTCAGCAACAAAGCACAGCGGTGGAGTCATCCGCCCTTGCTGAGAAATTGGAGAAACGTTGGAGAATCGGCGGCGCCGAGTTCGAGGCTCTCATGAGAATGCTCGACAATGCTGTAAGCATGATTTCGGAGGATCGCAACACCGTGACGTTCATCGGGATATAACGTATTTTGCGTCGTATTTTTTTAGGGATTCCGTACAGGCTATATATACAGAAATCCGCTTGTAAAGGGAGAACCGCCGAGACCGAGAAACGACGTTGAAGTTCCCCCGGCCGTATCGTCCCTGGGATATCTGCTTGAAGAGGAAGAGTTGTACAAGCAAGGGTAAGCCACCGTTTTACCTCTCCCGCTCGTTTCGACACCACCGAAGTAGTTAACGTCGCACGCTCAGCCGATTTCTTTCCATTTTTTCCGAGCAGGCTGTGGAAGGGCGGACGTAAAGGCACTGACAGATCCCGTTGGTTAAATTCGCCAAATGTTTACCAAAAGGTCGAGATCCTGGAAACTGGAACGCCCGATCCTAAAAAGATCACCAAGGTAGAAGTCATTACTTTTGAGAATAAGAACGACTAATCTATCTACTCATTCCGCGCAGCTTTTGCGCTCAATTTTAACATACAAGCGCAAGCCTATTTAATATATATATATATATATTTCTTATTTGACATTGTAATCGCGTATTGTGGCTGCTAGTCTCGGACTACGAGTTGCGTAACAGCGGAGAACGGAAGGTTCTTATGCAAATTAGACGTTATTCAAATGAAATATTTGCGATCAGCCGCTTATCAGACATTTATCTTGATCTTGACCTTAAGACGGTGTAGCTCAGTATAGTTGCATGTGTCTATTTTTTATTTTTTATTTTTTTTTTTTTATAAATATATCAAGATTTTTACGAAATGACAAAACTCGGTTTTTCGTTTCTACTATTCACCGGTGAACAGTTTTTTTTTTACCCTCGGCACGAAGATGTTTCTAACGATGATTGAGAACAACGCGAAGCGCATATCTATACGGCCGTAAATAGATAGTATATTCTCGTACGCTATGCGACACACATATTACTTGGCACTGGTTATCTCGTTTTTTCAAGCAATAGATTATAGACAGAGCCTTATCACGCTAATTACGTAATCTGACCTGCTTTTATCACGATATTTTCGATCAGCTCGATTTTTATTTCAACGATAGAGCAGATATATACGCCGTGCTGATTGGACGATTCACGAATTTGCGTGTACAAACTCGGTGCATTCCAACTCGCGCCATTAACTTCGGATCAATTGCTCTGACACGTTAAAAAAAAAACGATATTTTATATTATATATATACACACACATATATGTTCTAAGGAAGGGAAGGCAGTCATCTCACTGAGCATAAACAACGTATTAGATATTAACGCTGGTTATAGTATACGTATTTCGCACGTATAGCGACATAACTCTTTTTGGAACCCGCTGATATTATTAGGCGTAATATTCTTGTTACCACGCAGAACGCTTGAACGATATTACTCGAACGATATTGCAGATGCTTAATTTAACGCATATGGTGTATAATGTAAGGATATATCGATTGAAAGCTTGAAAAAATCAGAACAAAGATTTACAACGCTTTAAACTGTGTGTTACGACCAACGTATGGATACATGTGTGCATGCGCGCGTAATGTGATTTATGTACATGTGTACATATATATATATAGGCATTGGTCAGTTCTTGATATTATATTCACGAAAGGAAGTAATCCGTGTAAACTCACTTCTGTCGCACAAGTTCGACACGTGCGCGCTAATGAGTATTCCGCGTTACGAAATGTATTGCTGTACCGAAGCTTGCTGTTATCGGTGATTCGCTCCGGTATGTCAAAAGAAACGGATGAAACACGTTCAGATTTTACGAAATAACGAATAAAAACGTCAAGTGAATAATCTAATCTGTTGGCGAATTGAAAAGTATTTTATGGGCTGGCAATGCAACGATCGAACTTGCTTCGTTGTGTACCACTGTTTCTACTTTCAACGAAGTTCCCGACCGTGAGGAAGTTGATTCATTTTTCACAAAACGGAACGCTTAGTAAATGCTTACGCCCCGCCAAGTGGTGAGATAATCTTGTCGGGAGAAAAATGAGACTAACAAAAGCGCAGAACGAAGGTGGTTGACGCATTTCCATAAACACACCAGACATTATTATCACGTTGAATTCCAGTCAATCGTTAGTACGTACGTTTACATATAAGATATTAACGACTGTTCTTCTGTAGCCTCTTGATGTTTAAATAAAGCTATACGTACTGTTTAAAGAGGATGATTATTAACTTCGATGAGACTTTTTAATGATGGCGTACTTTCGAGTGTACTATTCATAGCGTGGAGAGATATTGTGCTGATAAAAACTTTTTCCATAGTTACGGAGTTGTGTACATCCGTTGAACGTTCAATTCAACATGAGATTTCGTCCATCTATCCTATTCACATACAAATTCCGTCACGAATAATACTAGTAATATGCAATCTCGATAATAGTATCTTGATCCGAATTTCACATTCCAATAGCATATACAAGGTGAAAGTAAAATAATAATATCTAATATATTACACGCGCGTGGTTTCGATTTAACGGATCGCTATTTTTGCCATAGTGCTCATATAATTAAGTCATGCGAAATATATCTCACGTGTTCTCTACGACTCTGTATGAATGTGTGCCTGATTTCTCGTCATCAAGATCTCGCTGGCCCGGTCACACGTCCCACTGCATTTACAAAACCAGATCAAGTGGCCCTATGTGTTCCATTAAGTCTTTCTTGTTTGAGAAAACTAAAGAGATTTTTTACATGCGCAAGAGCGGACTATTATCGTTGTATTATTGAAAATTATATTCATATACGGGTATTCGTGTCTCAAACTAATCTCGGGTTCCCGTGGTGTGCAAGTAGAACAGGGCGGAAAAGTCACGTACCATTTTGCGAAATTTGCAATAGTTAGCGAGCAATTAATGATCTTGTCTGAAGCAATGAGCGCACGAGAAGAAGTAGGCTAAAATCTATATAAAGAAAATGGCTTACTTATGAAGATCCTCCTAGTAATGACGAGTATCGACTGATAGCGAGAGGCGTGTTTCTTTTCGGCACACAGCCTTGTTTCACATGTCGTTCGCTGCGCCTTTAGGAATCAGTTGATGCTGCCATCGCTGCCATGAGATTTTGGAAGTAAACCGTTTTTCTTTGTCCGATCTACCCTTCCCCGTGCGTTCATTAACTCGGACAAGAAAATTCATTCCTCACTCACTATTGCGAATTTTGCAAAATGGTACACACGACTCTTTTGTTCCATTCGTTCTACTTGCACACCATGGGAACCGAGATTAGTTTGGGACACCCTGTATACATTGTGTGTAATGGGAGCGTTAGTCGTGCACTTCCCAATTTGTCTCAATCGTTCCAAAGCAATCTACTAGAGAAGAAAAGTATCATGCAGCAGGCACACATAGCATGCAAGAGTCTTATCTTACGTTTGTAACACAATCTTCTTCCAATGATTAAAGAGAGAGAGAGAGAGAGAGAGAGTCAACTAATGTTCTGGTTTTGTGTGCAGTGGGTATCTGACGGATCTCCTACCCATAGCAGCACACCAGTGAAGATAGACAGTGCTCTACAGTTCGTACCGAAAAATACCAACCCCAAGGAGTTCAAACAAATACAACAGCAGGTAAGCGCAGACTATATTCGTGTTAGTTTCGTTTCTGTCTTCCCTTGTGCTCGGTTTGCACGGAAACGAGTACACTTTCGATACACACTTTTATCTCTCGAACAGATTAAAGATTACCGGCGAGCAGACAAGATATCAGCTGGCCCCCAGTCTCACATATTAGAGGGTGTTTCATGGGAAGAAGCTAAGAAAATGCAGGTACGTTAACTACTCGATCGCCGTATTTCCGAATTAAACGTCAATTGTACAATTAGTTAAATGTTAATTAATTACATTAAATGTGAATTAGTTAACAAATTAGAGATCAGATTAAATATCAGTTGGAGATTCGCCGCGCTTAACACTTGAAAATCGGCGAAGTGATCGACGAAAGGAGTGGCGACTCAAGTAGTGATAATTTAAGCTAAACATACGAGGCAACATTTGCCGTCTTTACTACAGTAGCGTCTTCCCGATTACCTGTACAAATCCCCGAGACAAATACGCATTTCGTTGTGTTAACGTATGTTCATTGCTCACAAGGACGCGACGATTAGCGGCACCGGCGAACAAGTAGTCTTAGTAGGAGCCGCTAGCAAAGGTATTATACAGCGTGGTTTCCAACACAATGCGATGGTATACAAGACACCTTATGCCAAAAATCCCTTCGACGCCGTCACGGATCAAGAATTGGATCAGTATAAGAGAGAAGTCGAGCGCAAACAGAAGGGAGATCCTTGTGAGTGTTGCGATTCCTCCTCGGTATTTCGTCCACCTCTAATATCTGTCCGGTATTTCTAGTCACTTCTTTATTCAATATTTCTCTCGTCTATTTTGCATGCCCCCCCCCCCCCC